AGGAAAGAAGAAATAAACTCATTCTTTCAACTAAATTTCTCCTGACCTTACTAAAACTTTTCCCCTGTTTCCTCTTCTGAAGAAGCAGCTTTTCCTTTTTTTTTATTTTATTTTTGTGATCTTCAATTCCACTGAGACAGAAGAAATCAGCATATCAGAGAAAACAACGATCCTTGTGATGCCCAGCAGTCACTAATTAGCAAATTATTAAAAAAAAAAAAAGACATCTCTCTGCAGATAGAATTGTTTTCTGGCAACGTTACCTTTTTTTTTTGGGGGGGGGGGGGTTTTGACAAGGAACTTCTTTATTGCTGAATAAATCTCTATTGAGATAGAGCACATTAAACTATCCCTCTCATACTGGATGTGTTAATGTGGCTCATTCTTTCAGTCCCCAAATTAAATGTCCTGCCCTCACTTTTACCTTGTTATGGTGGGATCCTGCCTAGATGGGAAAATTGCAAGAGCACATTTGAGCTATCGTGTCTGTCCCCCAGCTGGACCAGGAGTCCTTTTCATCACCATGAGCATCCCCAGAGGCGGGGGCTCAGGGGAGCTGAGCTCACCTGTGTGGATTCAGTTCCAGTGGAACATCTGCAGAACAGCTGGAGTCCCCCCAGATGGTCCACCTCCCTCCTGAAGTCCACAGCCCCAGCTGGCAAGAGCCCCAGGAGATCTCCTCAAGCGGCCCTGCTCTCCTCCCCACCATCTTTCCAGGTTTCTTCTCCAAATTTCAGGATTATTTTGTCCCAAGCACTCACAGCCCTACTTGGGGACAGCACCTCAAGCAAAGGCTCTGTTGGGAGCTCCTACTGGCTGCAGGGGCTGAGCTCCCTGTTCATGCACTGGTGACCCAAGGTGGCACCTACAGGTCTCCAACCTCATTTTGGCTCATGGTCTCCAATGGTGTGGAGCAAAAAGGACCCCAAAGCCAGCTGTCAGAGACTCATCCTCCAAGGCTCAGCATGGGGGTCCTAGCCTTGTGAGCAGGTCTTGGGGGCTCTGCTGGAAGAACACAAAGGGCAGGAGACATCCCTGGGCTGTTGGAGAGAGCCACCTGCTTGTCTTTGGCCGAAGAACCTTGTACTCCCTCTTTGCCAAAGTCCTCTCCAAGGGTCAGTGTCCTTCTGAGGGCTCTGAGAAGCGTTGCCTGAGGCCTATTTACAGCGGTGGAGAACTGAACACATCCTGGGGGACATTTAATTATTCCAATACCGACAACATCATGGTCCTTCGATTGTTCCATAAATGTTCCCTTGGGGCTGCTGGCACCCCCCAGTACCCCATGGGGCGGGAGCATGGGGCACACCCCACAGAGAAATGATGAGCATGAGCCTGAGTCAAGCATGGCTGTAGGCAGGAGCCCTATGCTGCCCAAACCTTTGCATGCTGTTACCAGCACCACAGGGACATAGCCCTCCTGGCAATCACACCACTGCCCAAACCTCTGCCTGCTGTGACAAGCAGTGTGGGGCCACAGTGTCCTGAGGGCACAGAGCAGGGGACATGTACAGCCACAGCACAGGGATGTTGCATGAAAATACACATTTTTTCCCCTCTTTTTATAAATCATACATATTTCCCTACTCAGGGGCCACAGGTTTGGGTGGGCAGTGTGTGGAGAGCCCTAGCAAGAGCGGGACATGGAAACCTGGTTGTTCTGTGCAGGCAGCTCCCTCATGCTTGACTCCTGTTCTTGGTGACCTAATTAAATGAATTTTGGTGAGTGGTTGGGGTCTTTTTGGGGAGGGGGGGGTGTATGTGGCTTAAAGATAATTAGCCAAATAATGCCCTGATTTCTTTCTTCAAAGATCTGCCACTTTTCAGCTAGTGTGTTCTCACACACAATTCATGTTCCAAGGCACTGCAGATGTGAATTGAGGACTGGCTCTGAGCATCCCATCGGGACCCGTCTTGCCCCAAAGATTCCTACTGGGAACCTACTGGTGTTTGCTGGGATCCTGCACAGCGTCCAGCCTGCCACTACCAGTGCAATGAGTCTGCCAGACTTGATGACATGAGGAGGGATGCAGAGGGTGCTGGATGCTTGTGTGTTGCTCGACAGCACAAAAACCCACTTTCCTGCTCCTCCAGAAACTGAAAAAAATGTGTTTCCTCCCAAAATGTTTTCTTCTCCCCATGGTCCTGGAGTGGTAATAAATCATCACTTATTTAACCCAAAATGCAGCTAATGGAGCAGCTGCCTAATGCATGCTTCCAGGGAAAGCCATCAGCATTTCCGAAACTTTGAGGTTAGAATACTGTCAAGTTGTTTTTAATAGCTTTTAATTCATTTTAATTTTCCACTTGTTAACATGCAGCATGGGATGCTTCCTCCTGGTGGGTTGTTTTCCCAGCTGACAAATGTGACCTTGGCCCACCCCTGTGCCACCAGACAGGGCTGGGACCGGCCGAGCTGTGTCGTGCCATGCCAAATTGTGCCATACAGAGCCAGGCTGTGCCATGCTGTGCTGAGCCATGCCGACTTAAGCCATACTGAGCTCAACTATGTGGAGCAAGACTGTACAAAGCCATGCTGTGCCATGCTGAGGTGTGCAGGGACAGACTGTGCTGAGCTGAGCTGTGCTGTGCCTCTGGAACACTTCTGCTCTGGAAACATGCTGAGAGAGCTGGGGTTCTTCAGCCTGGAAAAGAGAAGGTTCTGGGGAGACCTTAGAGCCCCTTCCAGAGCTTAAAGGAGCTTCAGGAGAGCTGGAGAGGGACTTTGGACAAAGACATGGAGTGACAGGACAAGGGGGAACAGTTTCACATGACAGAAGGCAGGTTTAGGTTAGATGTTAGGAGGGAATTTTTCCCTATGAGGGTGATGAGGCACTAGCACATGTTGGTCAGAGAAGCTGTGGCTGCCCCATCCCTGGAAGTGTTCAAGGCCAGGTTGGATGGGGCTTGGAGCAACCTGGGATAGTGGAAGGTGTCCCTGCCCATGGCAGGGGGTTTGGAATGAGATGGTCTTTGAGGTCCCTTTCAACCTAAACCAACAAAAATCTATGGGCCCTGATGGGTTTCATTCAAGATTCCTCAAAGTGGTGCTGATGTCATCACAAAACCTTGCTCTATGAGTTTTGAGCGGTCTTGGGAATCTGGGGAGCTCCCAGTTGACTGGGAGCTGGTGAACGCTGTCCCAATTTTCAAGAAAGGCAAGAAGGAGGACCCTGGAAACTACAGGCCCGTCACTGTCATTTCAGTGCCTCATAAAGTTATGGAGAGGATTATTTTTGGAAAAATTGAAAAACATCTTAAAGACAACACAGTCATTGGTCACAGCCAGCACAGCTTCAGGAGAGAAAGTCCTCCTTGTGAAACCTAATTTCCTTCTATGACAAGGTAACCCACTTGGCTGATCAAGGAAAGCCAATTGATGTAATCCTTTTGGATTTCAGTGAAGCCTTCGATCCTGTCTCTCACCAGATTCTTCTGGATAAACTGATCAGCCCACAGCTGAATAAACACATCATGTGAGCAGTTGGCTCACGGGTAGGGCACAGAGGGTAACAGTGAATGGGGTAACATCAGACTGGTGACCTGTCACTAGTGGGGTTCCACAGGGCTCCACCTTAGGCCCTGCGCCCTTCAACATCTTCATAAATGACTTGGATGCAGGACTGTAAGGGACACTGAGCAAGTTTGCAGATGACCCAAAATTGGGAGGAGCTGCTGACTCCCTCGAAGGCTGCGAGGCCCTGCAGAGACATCTTGACAAACAGTCAACAGCTGTATGAAGTTCAAGAGGGGGAAGTGCCAGATTCTGCACCCAGAATGGAGCAACCCTGGATGTACAAACAGAGCGGGGAATGAGATGCTGGAAAGCAGTGCCAGGAAAGGGACTTGGTGGTCCTGGTTGATGGCAAGTCATACATGAGTCAGCAGCGCCCTGGCAGCCAGGAGAGCCAACCATGTCCTGAGGGGCATCAGGCCCAGCATCGTTGGGCAGGCCAGGGAGGGGATTGTCCTGCTCTGCTCTGACCTGGGGCAGCCTCAGCTTGAATATTATGTGCCGTTTTGGTCACCACAATATAAGAAAGATATTAAGCCATGAGAGAGCATCCAAAGGAGGCAACAAAGATGGTGAAGGGCCTTGAGGGGAAGCCATGTTGAGGAGCAGCTGAGGGCACTTAGTGTGTTCAGCTGAAGAAGACTGAGGGGAGACCTCATGGCAGTTTCAACTTCCTGGGGAGGGGAAGAGGAGGGCCAGGCACTGACCTCTTCTCTGTGGTGACCTGAGGGAATGGCCAGAAGTTGTGTCAGGGGAGGTTTAGGTTGGATATTAGCAAAAGATTGTCAGGCACTGGAACAAGCTCCCCAGAGAAGCGGTCTCAGCACCAAGCCTGACAGAGTTCAGGACACGTTTGGACGATTCTCTCGGGCACATACTGCGACTCTTGGGGATGATCCTGTGCGGGGCAAGGAGTTGGACTCGATGATCCTTGTGGGTCCTTTCCTACTCAGCATATTCTGTGAATCTGTGATGCTATGATTCTATGTCATTCCACGTCCCGCCGGATCAAGCCATGACAACCCACAAAATACCACGTCAAACTGAGCCAAACCCAACCGTGCCAACACCAACAGGTGGCGACACGTCCCTACTGCACCCCAAAACCAGCCGCGCCGGGGACGTCCCCGGCGCGTCCCCAGCGCAGCGTTAAAGGACTTCCCAGAGCTCGTCCCCGCCTTCCTAAACCCCCCCTCCCGGTTTTCGGGCTGGTTAATCCCGTGTGTAAATGGCAGCCAATGGATGCGGCCGTTGCGCGGGGCTGGGATTAGCGGCGGGGCGAATGGCTGGCACTTTTACTGGGATTACAGAACAAAGAGCTGCGTTCCCTGCCCGATTTGAGGTGGGGGGAAAAAAACCCCAAACCACCCCCCCGGGTTTTTTTTCATTCCTTTAGGCCCCCACCGGGTTATATCGGCTCCGCCCGGGAAGCGGCGGGAGGCGGCGGGAGGCGGCTCCATCCCGGCCCCCGCCCGTCCGCCCCCGCCGCTCCCGCGCAGCCTCGCCGGGGGAGGCAGCAGCGCCGCGCCCCAGCCGCCCGCGGTAAGAAAAAGTTTTGCCCCCCATCCCTTCGTCACGGCTCCCCCCCCACCCCCAGTCACGACTCTGGGGGGGGGCAGCGGCGGGAGGGATGTGGGGGTGGTAGGTGCGATGGGGTGCAGAGGGATATTAGGGCTGGGGGGATGCTGGGGGAGGATAGGTCTCGGGGATGCAGGGGGGGCATCAAGGCTCGGGGGATGATTGGAGTTGTTAGGGCTGGGGGGATGCAGGGGAGCATTAGGGGTCCTGAGGGAAGATAGTGCTGAGGGATGCAGCAGGACATTAGGGCTGGGGCGAGAGGGCTGGAGGATGCGGAGGGGCAACAGGACTGTTGGGGCGTGATCGGGCTGCGGGGGTACAAAAGGATATCAAGGCACAGGGGTGGGCAGTGGGTTGCTGGGGGAATGATAGGGATGCGGGGTGCAGGGGGACAGTAGGGTGGGAGGTCATGCTGGACTCTTTAGGGCTGGGGTATGCTGGGGGTGACAATGCTGGGGAATGCAGGGGGCAGTAGGGCTTCTGGGGGGATGATAGGTCTGGGGGATGCAGGCAGACATTAGGGCTGCTGGGGGGTGTTAGGGCTGTGGGAATCTGTGGGGCATCAAGTGTTGGGATGTAGGGGAGTAGTGGGGTTGCTGGCCTGGATGCCGAGCTCATTGGTGCTGGGGGGATGCTGTGAAGGGAATGCCAGGCTCATCAGTGTGGGAGAGGGCAGGGAGGCAATAGGGATACTGGGGGCTGATAGTGTTGGGGGATGCTGCAGGGCAATTGGGCTTGGCAGGGATGCTGGGGCTGTTTGGGCTGGGAGGGATACTGAGGAGCTGTAGGGCTTGGTGGAGGTGCTAAGGATATTCTGGAGCTCATTGGGGCTGAGGGTCATTAGGGCTGATGGGGGGAATACTGGAGGTGATGATGCGGCTTGGGGTTGGTGGGATCCATGGGGGCTGTTGGGGAGATGCCAATAGGTTTGGGAGGGTGTTACGGGTTGAGGGCAATAGCGCTGCAGGGGAGGATGCAGGGAGCAATAGGGCTGGGGGGGCTGCTGAGGCAGTTGGACAGGGGATGTCTGGCTGGCCCTCGGTGCCAATGGTGTCCCACATCCTGAAGGCAGCTCCAGGGCCACCACCTGCCCTGGCTGTGTCTGATGGTGCCAGGCAGGAAGGGGAGCTAGAAGCAGGGCTCTGCCAGAGCTTGCCTCCTCTCCGACACCACAGGGATCAGTGGCTGCACTGCTGGAAATAGAAACACGGCATTGAGCTGACAAAGCACTTGGGTCTTTGGCTGGGCTGGTTACTGGCCTTGGCACCGTGGCCCACGGGCTGGAGGGATAGACATCCTCTCCTATGGCAAGTGGAAGATTCTCAGTGCCTGAGGATGACCATGATGAGGAGAAAGTCGCTCCCTGGAGATCGGGTGTCCTTGTCTTTCCAGTGCGTGGGGCTGGCAGTGGGTTTATCTGGGATAAGCTGTAAATTGGAGTGATCCTATTAATGCATCTTGTGCAGGAGCAAGTTTGGACCCGGCAGGTAATCCTGGGTGTTTGTGGTGAGCACCAGGCACAGCCAGGCAAGAGCACTTTGGGAGGCGATGGTGCCAGTGAGCACCACGGGGTGGGTGCTGGAGGCATTTTGGGGTGGGTCACCCGCCTACTGCTGCATCCGTCCATCACCTGTCGGTGTGTGAGTTCCAGACATCAGAACCGCCTGGGGACATCAGCATGGAGCCTTGCATGACGGGAGCCCTCGGCTTCAGGGTGTATGCTCTTCACGCTGCTCTTACTTAAGGAGCTGCTGGAAGTGCTGCAGCTGGGGAATAATCCTATGGATGTGAGCACCTTTAATTCCACAGGATCCCTTGTTTCCTGTCCCCAAGAGCGCAGGCAGACCCAGTAAGTCAGTTGTTGCCCATCTGAACCCACAGAATCCCCTCCTGTGGAAACTGCTGCGGCACTTGCTCTGAAATGAGAAAGCTTTATGGGGACCTGACTCTGCCAGCAGCTTAGTGGCTGGGGTGCTAAAGACCATGTCCTAGTGCCGCAGCCGGAGCAGCAAGCCCTGGCACAGCAGCACGTGCTGCCATTGGAGCAATGTCAGCAACTGGTTGGATGTCAGGGTTGCCGTGTCAGGGCAATGTGGCTCTGTGACCACCCGCAGATTCTCTGCTCCTCTCCCTTCAGCCCCACACAACCAGACTCCAAGTGACCACCAATGGACAGGTGCCCTTCCTTGGGGCTGTGCCACTGATTTTCCCATGCACCGTGGCTCTCCGAGCTGGTGTCACCTCTCCAAGGCCACATGTTGGGCTGAGCCCTGCTTGGGATGTGTCACCACTATGCAGGCAGAAGAAAAGTTCAGGCGGCTGCCCTCGCAGGGTGCTTGCAGTAGTGGAGGAGTGACACCAGAAATATGCTCTGATGGCCACTGCTGCTTGCTTCTGCTGTCCCTCCTGAGAGGGCTTTCCATCCTCTGCAGGAGTGGCTGGTGTTGCCACTGGTTGCTGCTCATTCAGGTTTGCTAATGAGAAGTTGGGACAGGAAAGCAGGAACCTGCTCAGGGTCGTGTTTATCAACCTGGCTCTACCAGCCCGAGTGAGAGACACAGTGTCCTTGCTGGCAGGCTGGTACTGTCATGGGAGCCTGGCACATCCTTGCGTGGGGCAGGAGGTGACAAGGAAGGTGGGCCAGTGCAGAGGGCACAGGTCTGGCTGTCCAACATGATGTGCATCACGTATGACTAAAGTGATGCTCTGCTTAAAGGAAGGAGAAAAAAAAGTCTCAGGTCAAAGCACATGACCTCTTGCTGCTGGAGTTAACAGGGGATTCCCATCTGCTGCTCCCACAGGAAATAGCTCAGATTTTTTTTTGGCAATTATCAATCCTCTATACTTCCTTTGGGAATTTCAGTGACTGCACCCCAGCAGGCAGTCTGGAGGAGTGCAGAGTGACTGGCCAGCTGCCCGCTGCAAGGCTAACCCCTGGGGTGGGTGCAGGACTCAGTGCTGGCTGAGGGCTGGGGTGCCATCAGCATCCATTTGCAGGTGCCAGTAGTGGGTGGACGTGCTGGTGGTTCAGTACTGCTGCTCCAGGATGATTGGGCTTGGTGGTGGGTGATGGTTTGAGGAAGGGGATGCTGAGTGGGTGAGGGGCTGTGTTGGTGTCCTTGCTTTACTTCTGGCCCTTCAACCACATCTGCCTTGTGTTACGCCTTGCTGGCAATGACAAACCTTCTTCAGGCGTTTGGGGGGAGTAGAGGCAGATGCTGAAGGCATCTGGGCTGGGTTTACCACCACTAGAAGCCTTCTCCTTGCGGACAGGGAGGAGGAGAGGAAAGGACCTACTGAGTGCCCCTTCTGAGATGGAGATAGCTATCCAGGAGCTAAATATGTATTTATTGGTTCATTTATTGGGAAGAGCCCAGCTGGAAGCTGTAGAGAAGAGCCTCCAGTGTCCATGTGGATGGTGGCCAGAGCAGCGGGGCTGGGGGCATAGAGCAGCCCCAGATGGAGGTTTGCCAGTGAGGTGGCAGCTCTTTGCAAACCAGAGCGAGGCTTCCCAGGACCTTGCTCTGCCCTATGGCAGCCTCTTCTATTTACATCTCTTGAAACATTGTCTTTAAAAAGAAGTCAAGAGCTGCAGAAGGCTTGGAGCTGGACGGTGGTGTCTGTTGGACTTTGGGGATTGGGAGTTTGGGGGTTTCTGGCTCACCGTTTTGATGCTTCGTTTCTTGGTACAGCCTCATTTGTTGAATTTGCTTCAGGCCAGAGAGAAAAATGTGAAGTGGGTCCAGGTGGGTGCTCGGCCCTGCTGTGTGGTGCCCCTAGAGTGATGGAGCAGTGGGCTAGGATGGGGGTTTGCTGCCAGAGAGACCCCCCAAAGCAGCTAGGGCATTGGCTGGTGTGGGAACACACTGTGTCCCATCCTGGTTCAGGAGTTGCTGCCAAACGCCACCTTACAAATGATGGTGTTGTTTCCAAGGGATTTGCCTATGATGCAGCAAGGCTCCTCTCGCTGTGGGAGCAAGGGAAAGCATCCCTCGAGTTGGAATGCTGTGGAGAAAAGCACTGGGTACATGAATCCCCTCCTTGGGAGCAGGCTGTGCTGAGCAGCATTTACATTCCTGCATGCAAATGGCTTCAGTTGGAGTTTTCTGTCTTCATGTGGCCTTGTCTCTGCTCTGTGCTGGTCTGCCTGGTTTAAGTAGATAATTAACCTCAGTGGAATGAGCAGGGGACCAGCAAGGAGCATCACTCTGCTGCTGCACAGCCGTGTGGTTGACATAGTCCTTTGCCAGCGTGTCCCTCCTCAGAACCGATCTCCACCTCTCGCATGAGGGGTGAGATGTCCATCTTATTTTCTTTTAATCTGTAACATTAAATAGAGCAAATGCCAGTGGGGAGGTCAGTGTGGACCCAGGATGGGTCCTGGAAATGTGTCATCCAGTGCTCACCTGCATGCCTGGGACCTCTGCCCCAGGCGATTGAAGAGGACAAGACAGAAGTTCCCTGCCCATGGGTGACATCCCCTATGGGTGTGCCAGGGTCTGGCAGTGCCCCTGAGCCATTCAAGTGGGTGTGAGCAGTCGGGTGCAAAGGCTTGTAGTGGGTACCACGGACCTGCTGTTGATCTGTTCCCACAGCCCCATAGGCAGACTAAAACCTGGGAGCTCAGAGGGTGCTTTGGGGTATAGATCCCTTTGGAGATGGCTGGGAGGAAAACTGGTGTGCAGGATGTTTTGTAAACATTTTTAATTTTTGGAACATTTCTTGAACTTTTTGGTGATGTGTGTGGGTGGTGGTCCCTACCAGGGTTGTGTGTCCCACTTAACTTGGATGTACCCTATAGGAGAAACCTCCCCCCCAGTGGGTGGACAGAGGTTGGAGGGGTCTACATGCTTCTGAGAGAAATCCATGGTGCCTGGGCCCTGGTAACAAATAGCAGGTTTTTCAGTCCCACTTCAAATCCCTGGACGAGGTGGGATAGAGGCATGGAATCCCAGCCATGGGTT